AATACATGAACCACCTCCGCTACCGACTGATATTTGTTCAGTATGATTTCTCAGATACTGTTCCCTTATCTTTTTTCTACGTGTCATAGTACGGCCATTTGGGATCTACTTGGGGCCGAGCTCTTAACTCCCAAGCAGCTATTAGTACCAAGCTTATTGATACCGAGCTGACATCTATTTTGACCTGAATTATTTTCGGCTTCTATGGAGCTGGGTTATGGTCAAGCTCAGACCTAATGAATGCTGCCTTGAAGAGGCGTTTGGGTCGTCTTGTGTGTCCCCAAAGGGGTTTTGGGCTCGGAAGCAGCGCAAACTTAAATTCATCATCATCAGTTATAAAATTTTAAAAGTAACCAAAAAATAAACAAATTTTTTTATGCTGCAAATGATAAAGAAGTACGGGTACAAATTTTCTGTGATTAATTATTCATTGATAATTGGTGAGTTTTTAATGACAAAAACTGGTTTCATTGCTTGACACTGTGTGATTAGTTTATCTTATAATTTCAAATTTCATACTGTATTGAGTCTTTTTTTTCTCAGAATATTTGTCTTGCGTGATTGATAGTTTATTAATTCACAAATATAATTATAACCCACATATATATATATATTTAAAGTTCTCAATAATTATTAAAATTGGAATTGAGGATTTAACCTACTCATCGAGAAAATATTCAATACAACGGTGACACTATTCATCACCGCCACATGATGTCACAATCCGATTAAAAAATCACAAATGGATAAAGTGGATCCCACTAATCTTATGTGTGTAATATAGTGGTTATTGGTAGTTATAAAAATAGTGGGGTTTACTTTTGTTTACTTGTAGTCTTCTAATTGGATGGTGAAACCACGTGATAGTGATGACGGGGAACATCATTGCATTGATTATTTACTCTCATTCATCAATGATGTATACTTTGATCTAGGTCAATATTGCATACTTATAGGTAACTTAACATATTACGAATGCAATCAGTGATGTATACTCTTTTACGCTAAGTTTAGTACGTTGTAATGTAATCAAGTGGGAATAGAATAACTGATGGAATGGAATGAGAGCAAGAATGGAATAGAATAGACATTGTCATTCCCAAGTTTGGTGTCTAAACAGTGTATGAAAAATTTGATGAAATAACTGTGTCAAATAGTTTTAAATTTCATGAATCTGATAAGTGTATGTACAGTAGATATGCTAATAGGAAATGTGTGATAATATGCTTATATGTAGATAACATGCTAATACTTGTTACTAATTTGGATAGTATTAATAGTACTAAAAGTTTCTTGTCTTCTAGTTTTGATATGAAAGATATGGGTGTTGTGGATGTTATCTTAGGGATTAGAATAATAAAACAAGATAACAATCTGATATTTTCTCAGTCGCATTACATTGAGAAGATACTTAAAAAGTTTGATCATTTTGATTGCACACCTATAAGAATTCCTTTTGAACTCTAGATAAGGTTGTTTCAAAACAATGATAGAGCAGTCTCACAATTTCAATATTCTAGAGTTATTGATAGTGTAATGTATGTCATGATATGCACTAAACTTGATATTACATTTTCTGTTGGAAAATTTAGTAGATATACTAGCAATTGTAGTCACTTGCATTGACATGCTGTAAATAGAATATTGAAATATTTAAAACTAATTGTAGATTATGGTATATGCTACAATGGATATCCTATTGTTCTAGAGGGACATTCAGATGCCAGTTGGATAACTGATCGTGAAGATCATACATCAATAAGTGGATGGGTATTTACCCTTGGTGGGGGTGTTGTCTCTTGAGGCTTCAAGAAACAAACATGTATAACAGACTCTACTATGTCATCAAAATTTGTGGCATTAGCCGCCAGTGGTAAAGAAGTAGAGTGGTTGAGGAATTTACTATTAAAAAATTCAATTTGGCCGAAACCAATGCCTTTTATATCTATACATTGTGATAGTGAATCAATATTAGCATGGGTGTATAGTAAATTGTATAATAGAAAGTCCAGACATATTGGACTAAGACATAGTTGTGTCAAACAGTTACTCACGGGTGGAGTAGTAACAATGGATTATGTAAGGTCTTCCCAAAACTTGGCAGACCCTTTTACCAAAGAACTTGAAAGGAATATGATGTTACAAAAATTAGTAAGGATGGGATTGAAGCCCATATGAAATGATCACACTTGGTGGAAACTCGACTTGACACTTGAAATATCAAATCCACAAGTTCAATGAGTAAAGTACACCATAAGTCGTGATTGCAAGCACACACAACGTAAGGAACATCTATCCTAAGAATAAGTGCTTAGAACCTGTAATGTTTAAAGGAGGAGGTTGAGCTACTAAACTCTTAATAGGCTTATCAAAATGTTATAATTACGGGGACACTTCTGCTAAGCTTATCTATATAAGTGTGATAGTGAGGCCACTTCCTATAACACTAAGGTTGTCTCAAGAGTGCTTATGAAATCAAGATACAGACACAATACCATTTATATGTGCCAGCTATAGATATGTATCTAAAGGATTTGGGTTTTTTGTGTGAATATGGATCCGGCTAGTCAAAGTGGATAGCTAATTTAAAGACACGGCTACTATGCCTTCCCTATTAGCTTAATTTGATACATTTTCACTAAGTGATTGGTTCAAATCTTAAGATACCATCACCTATGCATTATTTTGCCATTTAGTCATTTGTTCCTATATATTATTTTGAAAATGGTGGGGGAATGTTAAAGTATTTTCATAATAAAAGCTTTCTTGGGTGGTTATTTTTTAAAAAGTCTTTGTGACTTTTGGGAGAATTTGGAAATGTGAGAAGTAAAAATAACATAAAAACTACTAATTCAAGTTGGTGACTTTTGGCTAAAGACATTAATTCAAATTGTTACATCTTTTCATAAAACACCATTAACACCTATTGGTTAAAAGTCACCATTACAAATAATCACAACTTTTCATGAAGTCACCTTTGATAACTCTTGGACTAAAAGACACAATTTCAAAAGGTTATACATTTTTATAAAGTCACCATTGGTGTCATTTGAACCAAAAGACACCATTACATATGGTTGCACCCTTTATGAAAAGTCACTAATCAGTTTATAAATAGAAAATGTCTTGCTCTCCTAAATAACACCATTGAACAATTGTAAAAAAACACTCTTTTCTTCTTTCTCTCCATTTCTCTGAAATCCACATACATCTATTGTTTTCTATTCAAACTAGTATTTTATTTCCTGCAGAGTTAGAATAATAGAAGTTGGCTATTTGATTACCTTAAGATATTTGGATATTGTCTTCGTAAGTGCAATAAGTAGGCAGGCTTAAGAAACTTTATTGTATCTTGAGAACAGATTTGTCGATTTTTCGGTGCACACCTTTTTAAACAACTAGTGGGGGTAAAATACTGTTTTTAGAAAAATGTTCTTGTACACAACTTGAAGCAATTTTCAATGTCGTAATGCAGTTACTATGATCAATAATTCAAAGGAGTGACGAACCCATTAGTGTACTTTTCTAACATAATTTATTTAAACAAGGTGTTTGAATATGTTATTTAGATAAAAATTATTACTATCACTAAACTTAGTGTGATATTTTGAAGCTTCACACCAACACAAGCCACTCTGATTCAATTCTTGTAATCAATTCTCCATAAGGAACCTACTTCAATCATTAAGTTATGAGAGACAATTATGTCGTGTCATATTATTTTTAATTTGTATCAATTACTAGTCAACCTTGACCAATCGATTTATTTAATCATGTCAGATGTCATGACATTAACCTATCCTTTTTATTATTGTGCTGTTTCGAGTTAACAAGCAGAAATCGTGAATCAAATATGATCATTGTCCTTGTTCAATGCTCTTTCTGGAAAGACTTTTTATTTGGTGTTTACTTCCGGCGCCATGCAGTCTAATCGAAGGGGGACTTGTGCTTTTCTTGCTTCCAGTCACAAACTAAAGAATTTTACTTTGCGTCAAATACATACGTCCTTCATCTTTTGGATGAAAATTGAAACGTTTCTCCGGCAAAGTAAAACATAACACATAATTCTTGCAAAATGGAACAATTTTGTGCCAAATTTGATACGGACATGAGGCAGTGTAAAACTAATAACATAATTAGTATGGAAATGAAAAATGATAACATTTAAATAATTTTTTTTTTTTTTTAAATCTGGAGTACACATTGTTTATTTTGAAAACTTAGCAACAATATGTCTTTGAAGTTTCTCCAACACTTGCTGGCTTGCTGACATAGATGTCTCAAGCGTTTTCTTCTCAAGAACATGATACCTGGGAGGAAACTTGTTTCATTGGAAATATATGATCCCAAGCATATGTGAAGTTGATTGATGTGAATCCATAGATAGGTAAATCGTTGTTGATAGTGCATACATCTCCGGATTTCGACAGGATCAAAGGATCAACTTTTTCAACAGTTTGAAATCCGGGACAAGATAACTTCACTGCCAACAGAGTACATATCTCTGGGTTGGCGATTGTCACATTCCACTCCGGCTTGTCCTGTATTCTTTTTCCGGTTGCAACTTGGTTGACAGTGACGATGTGCCGTTCATATTGAAGTGTGCCTATAATGCAAAAATAAATTGAAATGCACCAGAACCATTTACATAAACTATCTATATAATAAAGTATAAGGCATTTTAAATATTCCAAATAAATAAAAATAAATTTTATTGTTCACGATTCAGATTATTTTAAAATTAATCGAAAATCAATCTGATGGCTGAAAATCATTCTTGAAAATTAAATCCCCACCCATATGTCTTTACTTTTTGCCCTAATGGCTTATTTGGATGGATTTTTGGTGAGGGTTTGGTTTAACTTTCCAAAACCTTCCAAACTCAAACCTCTCTTTACAAAGATGAAATACAATTTTGAATTCAGTCCATGCTCATGTTTGGCATGAACACACATACATGTACAACCCATGGATATATTACTATTATCATAATATATTTGTCATATAAATAACTACATTACCCATTGATTAATCCAATTCATACTCATATGTGTTTTACTTAAGGGTATAAATGTCATTTGTATCATTAATCTAGATATGGCTTGACCAAAACTCACCCCCATGGGTTTGATGAGACCTACATTCAAGGGTTCAAGGTGTCAAGCAAGCTATAGACCGAGACTACTGTCCATGGCTTGAAAAAACATTCAAACAAGAATTTTGGGGTCTATTAAACTATTTTTTCCCAAATCCATATTGTCAAGCCCCAATACCCATTATCAGACAGCCCGTAAAGCGTTGCCCTCTCTCATGTGACCTCATACTGCCCTCTCACGTCTCCCACTCTCTCATTTCTACTACACTCTCATTTCTCCTACGTCTTTCGTCTCTATTGTCCTTTTATCTTCTTTTTTTCCCCCTCTTGCTCACATCTCCCTCACTTGCAGCTCCTTCGGTTTCATTATGAATTTGGTTTAATTATGAAGGACGATGATGTGAGTTATTTTTTTAAAAATAAAGATTTGTACTTATTATTATTTTGATTAAAAAATTGTGTACATAGACTGATATTATCTAAAGATCGTATTTTTAGAGTGTATTTTTCTGTTTTTGTTTTGAATAGTGGGTTTATATTGTTTGGTGATATTTTTTATTTTTTTTGGTTCTACATTGCTTTCAAGTGGAATATATATATATATTTTTTTTATGTAATGTCTTCAGGCACAGACAATGATTTATGATCGAATAAATTGCAGAAGGGCCAAAAAAAATATCAAGCAAATGTTTGATATGTACATCTAATGTAAACTATATGTTGTACATTAGAGTCCCGAAATCAACCTATTCAAAATGAGATTCGGGCAGCTTAAATTGGATTTAAGATCTCTCACTTCTCTTAAATCTTTCAATTAGGTATAATACAGGGACATGCTTATGCTTTTTTCCCTTAAATGATCGTCTAATGGCCATTAACACTCCATAATTTCATTGAAGGAAAAATGGTTTGCACACATTCTACGTAATTTTGGACCACTATGTAGAATTAGAAGAGGTGATGTCTGAGACTCAGATTTGATGCGAGTAAGGTTTCGAGTTTCCTATTACCAGAGTTGTAAAAAAAAAAAAATCAAACTACTGATGGTATAAAATGCTTCTATGAAAAAGAGAATGGAAAACGGATATTAATTGTACATTATTTTGGTGTATGTCACCATATACATGAGGAGATTGATTTATGTATGGGTGTTTACCCTACCATACGGGTAGGAATTTTGGTATTCCATTTTCTTATCCGATACTTTGCGGTAGAATTTTTTTTTTTGTCTACCTTACCCAATCAAGTGTATTATTCCTATCCGAATTCTGTTCAAAACAATTGGGTAAGAAATCGGATGAACACATATTTTTTAGTTATTAATTTTTTTATCATTTTAACAATTTAATTAAGTAAACAGTACTAATTAACTAACACAATAAACTCATAACACTAAAAAAAACATAATAACTTCGATAATACATAAATAATTACAATAAACACAACAAGAAAGTCATAAACATCAATAGAACATTAGGGTTTCAAAATTTTTTGACTTTAATTTTTAGGGATATATATATATATATATATATATATATATATGTTGGTACGGTAGGGTAAGTTAGGAATAGAAAAATTTTATAGATATTCCGCATTTCAATCCGATGCTTTGCGAAATATTAAAAAAAATTCTTTTAGCCTACCCCATTCTTTCAGGTGGCCAATCAATAGAGTTGGGTAGGGTATGGTAGGGTCGAAATTTACGGGCAATCAAAAATATGAACATCCCTAGATTTATAGTACAAGAGAGTAGTAAAATTTTCTAATCCAATCAAAGTGGGACAAACATATAAACATTAACAGCTTCTATCGAGTGACGCACACATGAGAACATACACACACATGCCCACACACTTGAGCAAAACTACTAGCAAAGCAAAAGAAATTTAACCTTTGATCATGAGAAAAAGGAAGAGAGTTAAACAAACGGAGTTGATGATGCCTGCGGCTGCCATTGAGGACTAATACCACCAAATATATTCTGAAAATTGTTGGAACTTGGCCTATTTATAGAGGGCCTTTACTCATAATACTTGAGAGAATCTTTGAATAGCAATAACAAGTAAGAATTTTCAATTTATGGTAACTACTCATGTTATATGTGGTGAATCTGTTAGAGATTTTCTTTATTCGGACTAAGCATCTCATTACCACAAACTATTGAAAATTCAAGCTATTGAGGGTAAACTAATCAACAAATTGAACTCGGCGTCTAGTTATGAAAGTTTTGAAGATAAAAAATACGAAAAAAGATGAGAAAATTTTAACGATTGCCGTGAGTATTTGGGTCACTTTTTTATTTTAAAACCAAGCAGCAAAATATTTTTAAAAAAAATTCATTGCATTTTCTAAATTATCCTCATTTCCAAGCCCCAAAATAGGTAGGTATTTAGTTACCTATACTATGTGGTACATAAAGATACATAAACCATGATATCCTTCTAATTCATTTTTGGTCAAGTCACCAGTCAACTTAAATTAAATGTATCATCATTTTTCCTTCCATTTATCTATTCGTTTCATTATTTTGACCAAATTTACTAACTAAATCCACTACTGTTGTTGGACTAGCGATGATGTCACACCGAGATTAATGGACAATGAATTTGGTCAATAAATTTTGTTTGAAAAGTAAAATTACCATTTACTATAACTAAGATTTAGAATACCGTCCTCAACCATTCTTAACTTTCAATGTAGTCGTTCATATTTCGTAAATGTTAAAACATATATAATTCAGGCATTAGGGGTATAAATCGATTAAATTGGTTTGATCGTAATTTACTACCATATTTGGGCCATGTCGTACGGTCCAATCTCACAATATGAGCAAATAGCAACTTGATGCGACAGTATAAAAAAAACAATACTTTCACAGTACAAACTAATTTTCATGTAATAGGTGGTCTAAAACCATTCTTGATTGGTATTAAGATAAAAAAAATGACCAGATTACCATGATCTAGTTTTGGATGACATTTGTCACAAGGGTGCTTTCGTGTTTTTTCAATTTAGTACTACATATTAATCTTCAATTTCATGATAATGGACCCACATTTTATCTCAACCTTGAATCAAACATGGAGTAGATAAGATGCAAAAAAAAAAATGATATAACCTATTATTACTTCAGATAATCACACAATTTTGTTCTATGTTACACCCGAACCAAACACCCCTTTAATAGTTTATCATATTTTGTGAATCCAACCGTCAGATTCAGTGATCCTTCCATGCTCATCATGCATGTTAAAGATTATGTCAATAGGAAATTTGATGGGACACTTCTGATAAAGAACAGGGAGTAGACACATGTCTTTGGCTCCGAGAACACCTCCAAAATTCAAATGAAACTACTTGTCTTTGGCGCCAAGGACACTTCTAGCATTCAGATGAAGCCACAAGTTCTCGGCACCAAGGACATTTTGAGCATTTAAATGAAGTCACGTGTCCTCAACACCGAAGACACCTCTAGCATTCTGATGAAAATACGTGTCCTCAGTGCCGATGACACTCCATAACTAAGAGGAGGACACGTGTCCTCTGCACCGACATCCTCTGTCTATATAACACGTGTCCTTAGCGTATGAGCTCTCGGAACACTAGGATTTTGACACGTTTCCTCGGCGTGATCAGATCCTAAGGTCTGCTTTTAGACACCTCATCTCGGTCACCAGACAGATTATTGTCGGTTACAGTCTGTCAAAGTCAGAATTAGTTAATAAATCATTAAACTTGTTTTCCCATAGGAGTCAAGATGACAGAAAAGACATGACCTACAACCAAAAGGAGTTGAACACGTGATGCAAAGTACAGAGTTGGGGGCCAATAGACAAGAATACCCCCGCTGCCGTGCAGCCATCACAGATGAGCATTCAAAGATCCTTTAGGAGAATGGGACGTGTTTATCATCCAGATAGTCTTGGGGAAAGGGCATTAAGTGCTTGGGGGCCGACCATTTAATGCTAATTGACTTCTCGCGTGAGACAGGAGGCGTTTTGCTCAAGAACTGTTCACCCCCACCTGTTGCCTCCCAGATGGGCCAATGGAGGGCTCTCCCTAAGGGGACCCATTCGCTAGCAGTGATGACTTCCATGAAAAGTATAAGTAGTTCTCACAATATGGAAAGAAGGTATGCAAACCAGTCAACTTAAACCATGATATCCTTCTAGTTCATTTTTGGTCAACTCACCAGTCAACTTAAATTAAATGTATCATCAATTTTTCTTCCATTTATCTATTCGTTTTACTATTTTGACAAAATTTACTAATCTGCGTGTAATAGGTGGTCTAAAACCATTCTTGATTGGTATTAAGATTGACGGTGTATTTCAACGTTATGAGAATTTGTGATGACAAGTAAATAAAAGAAAACAATATTGGAATTGTTGAAATTTAAGCTACTAGACTCGAGTGAATGATTGTTGGGGAATTGAGGAATTAACACAGTAGGAATATAGTGGTTCACCAGCTCGGGAGCTCGATTAATCCACTCTTTAATGGAGACTATT